ACTCGTTTGATTCAATCTTGTATAAGCATCAAAATACTAATCTTGGAGGCCTGTTTTTTCTCGTGAGAGCGAATATAAGAACAGGGCGGAAAGTAGATCTCACAAATCATAAACCAAATAAAATAAAAACAAAATTCACGCGAAGTTTTCCGTGTTGTGACTTTAAACTTAACCTAAAACACAAAGTGGCATTGACGCAATGATTTATTTACGAACATGCATTAGCATGTAATGCAAATAATACATTCACTGATGAGAAAGAGAAACGCAAAAACAAACAAAATTATGCTGTAGTAAAGTACTCTGCTTTAGAACTCGAATCTGAAATTGAAACGGTAACCGATGTCTGCACAATAACGAATAATGTATGTTTGAAATATCCTTCATGCTAAGTGTTACTCATACATACTGCATGTTACTAAAGTAGAATTCATAGGGTACATACAATAAGCTACTCGTCGAAGCTTGAAATGAAACAACGTGGTCAGAGAAAAGTTACTTTCATCGAACACTNACATGTTACTAAAGTAGAATTCATAGGGTACATAAGCTACTCGTCGATGCTTGAAATGAAACAACGTGGTCAGAGAAAAGTTACTTTCATCGAACACTTTTGTTCTCTAAATTGTAACATGTGATGAGTAGGAAGAATGAATGCATGAATTTTCAAATTCGAAAATATGTTAGAAAATCTTTTTAATGTTAAAACAACAAAAATGTTATCGAAAAATTGCTTTACAATGTACATTCAAGCATTTTGCTTTCCAATCCTCTGTTTAAATAATAATTATAATGAACATACATACATATATATAGAAAATAACAAACAATTAAAATTATCGTCAATCCTTTGTAAGGTCTAAGTAAATTAGTAAGTTTTTAATTTAAACAAATACAAATAAGAGCAAAGAAAAAAAAAAACAAATAAAATAACGATCATTTTTTACAATTGACATTTAATTGATAATTTAGTAATAATAATAAAGTGTTAATTAAATACATACATACGCGACAAGTAAAACTATGCAAAACGGTAATGAAAATAGACAAACAAGAAAATCTAAGACTAATGAAATAGCACCAAGATTAACAAACGAATAAAAGCATAAATAAGCGCTGTTGCTGCAATTCGAAAATACTAATCAACAGTTTTCGAAGTAGTCGTCTTTAATCGTCTCTGAAACAATTGACATACACACATACAATCCAATATACATACATATATGGGAATACAAAAATAAAATAGATAAAAATAAAATAAAGCCAAAACAAAAAGTTTATGTATTAAAAAAAAAAAAAAAAAAAAANTCGAACGGTAAGTATGGTTTTTAAATTGACTTCGCTGGAACATACATACTCGGCTCTAATCGTAACATCCGTTCACGGATCGAATCTATACGAAAGGCAGTATAAGCTGAATGGGACAAAGAGTACGTTCACGTATGTCATGATCCGAAAAATGTGTTTTTAACTGACGAGTAGTACGATATCGTATGAAACGATTGGAGCCCAGTATTGGCTAATACATTAGCACCCCCATTTCAAAGTTATATTGTTTGAAACTCACGCTTATTCTTTATTTTTAGAAATTTTCAATTAAAATCCAGTTCATTCTCTAACAAAACACTTGTAAACCCAAGTTTAAAACTTTGTAGAAAATTAAAAAAAAATCCAATAAATTTTCACCCAAATTTCAAACTTTTTTCTTAGAAGGGTTAGAATTTTTTTTAGTACATAGTTGTATAGCCCACTCAATTTTAGTCCAATAATGTGCAAGTTTCAAGTGTGAGGGAAAATTGAATTTATTCGTTATATGGAAGCAAATGCGAAAAAAAATCAACGGTAATTTTTAGCCACTTGAAACTTGCACATTATCAAACTAAAATTGAATGGGCTATAAAACTGCTTACCCAAAAAAATTCTAACACTTCTGAGAAAAAAGTTTGAAATTTACGTGAAAATTCGTTGAATTTTTTTTTGTTGTGAACTGTATTTTAATTAAAAATTCTTAAAAACTAATAATTAAACAAAAGTGGCAAATGGCCAATAACTGGGATGGGCGTAATTAGAAAAATGAATACTTAAAAAAAAAAAAATAGAATAAATTTTCATTCCTTATTCAAGTAATTTCGAATGGCGAATAAATTTTCATTCATCATACTTCAAATGAAAGAATTTTTTTTTATTTGAATAATAATTCATTCAAAAACGTAGATACGCGGTGATAGAGTGGCCTGGTCGACATCTAATAGACACAGATATGAACGGAATTGCTTACGTACATACCAGACTGGGCTAGTACAGCTCTATGAATTTTGGCCGTTCATTTAAATAAATGTAGATAGCAATTAGTTTGGAGTAGTGATTCGATAACACACTTAAAAGTTAGGTGAATTTTCCTTCAAAAGACCTACATTTTTCATTTCAGTCGAAGTCATGATTCCTGTCAAAGAATTTAAAAAGTGTATCCAGGTAAATCTTAATCAGTTGCTGCATACTTCTAGGCGTTCAAACTATTATTTTTGATTTTACATATTAGGTAAAATTCAAATGCAAAAGCTCAACGCTCCATAAAGCTTTTAGCGCAAATAGGACAAATGCGTTTGGGTGATTGTGTGTACGCGAGAGTTGCGCATAACAAATGAGAGAGTAAATGTGGTGGTAAAAATGCTGTGAGTGGTGGTGAGTGGTGAATGCCGCATGTGGAGAACTGGGGCATCGTGACGTGCTTCAGTCGTCGCTAATGTACTGTGTGGAGCCATCAAGTTTGCGAATGTTACTATGGACTAAGCGAAAAAGCGGTGAGTATCTGCTGGCGTACGTTGCTTGCCTATCTCATAGATTCTTTTGCTAGTCAGTTTGAAATTGAAACTCTGCGAGTAAGGTACGTTTGGGTGCTAAATTGAAAACAAAAACAAATAATATATATGTACATATAGTAGCTATTCACATACACATGTACCCATATGTGCTGTGTAACCAACAAAAGAATGGATACAAATATAATTATACAAAAATATCGACAGTAGAAGTTAACTAAAATGATTTCGTCGCGGAATATTTTTGAACGAAAAAAAGCATGAATTGCTAATATTTTTTTTTTTTGTATTTGGTGTGTGCCTACTAGCTGTGTGTAGCCAACACGTCTTCTCCCTGTGTTGCCACTGTAATATTTGAATTTTCCAACCCCCAAAAACACATTAAAATAAGTTAATGAAATGAATTTCGAAAACGGTCTTCTACTTTGTTGCTTATAGTGATTACAATGTCTGCTGCAAAACGAAGTTACTAAAATATTTCTACCTCATGAAAAATCGAACAGCTGATATCATCGCTGCAGCATCTACTAAAGCAGTGAGAATCAGCCATGATTTGTCAGGTTCTTATTGACATAACAGCACAGTGAGCACCATATTGATACGATTGGGGGCAAAACTAAAATAAAGTAAACAAGCAACCAAATAAACATGTCAATTTGTGCAGAAAAAGGAAAATAAAAGAAAAACAACTAAACATTGAGATGGAAGGAAAAAAATTATTAAAAATGCAAATGAAAGAAATAATATTGATAGTAAAAAAAAAAATATATATGTATTTAAGGAATTTTTTTTTACTATTGAAAATAATAAAATTGAATGAAGCAAACCAATTCTTTGGTTGATTGTGGCGAAAAGAGCAAAGTGGTTGTCGTCTAAAGCATTAAGTCATTACAAACAAATGTTCTATTTTTATCACTGAAAAGCTAATAGCTAGCGAATTCGTGCTGGCGGCAAACACTGGCCTTGCTTTTGCACCAAGTTCACTTGCACAGACATTCCCGGGCATCGTAACCCGCACGATAAGCAAATTGTTTACTAACAATAACAAAATAACAATAATGTGACATGATTTGCAATCTATAAACAGCCCTTATCTTTTTTTTTTTTTTTTTTTTTGAATATCTGATTAATATTTCAAACGTCCAGCAAATTGATTGTTATCATTTATTAAGGCATTCACTAACTAACCACCTTGAAAGTTAATATCATTATATTCATATCACATTATCACATATGTATGTATATTTTCAGTAATTTTACCGCGCGTAAAATTCTGATTTATCTCGCGTAAATTCAAGCAAACTTTATAAAAGCGCATCAAACCAAATAAAACTGCGAATTTTCAACAGCAAGTCGTTGAAAAGGAAGGCATATAAATATTCGATTTAGAACTGCTTGGATACGAGAGCATCTCGCTGCTGTTCAGATACGAAATAATAACAATGATAATCGAAGAAACACACAAAGCAGAAAAATATAAAAATAAACAACGAAAAACTCGAATATAAGTAAGCGCTGAACATTAAAAATACACCGACAAAAACAAAAATCTCAAATAAAAAGTATTTCGGCATTTAGTATTTTTGCGGTTTCGCTGCTCTAAATACATATATTTTTTGTTGTATCTGAACGCGTGCATCTCGCATCTCGCCAGCTGAACGTATCCACAGAGCATCGTGACAACTGCGTCCCTTCTGAACTTGCAAAATACTTGGTGGCCTTGTCCCACTAGCACTCGCGCTCACAACAAACACATCCTTTCACCCCGGTTAAGCTACAAACTTTCAATCGAGTGAGTTAATCACAATCGCTATACTCTATGTATACCTATCTATATATACATGTGTGTTATTAGCTCATCAATGTTACTGTCTTGCTTGTCTGTCCATCAAGCGATTTCTGTAACCCTCACCATCCCGGCTGTCCTTTTGTTAACTATACAAATGCATACATATGTACATATATAATTGTGTTTTAATTTTATGCATTTCGCTTTTTTATTATTTTTAAAATTTTTTGCTTTACTCCTTAAAGTATTTTTTTACAATTTCGATTTGATAGCGTAAGTTTGTATTTAATGAAACTTGTACAAATCAATATTTTCCTTGCATTTTTACTTGTATTCGTTACTTTGATGGCTCTTTTGTTCCATAACTGTGTATTTGTACATTAATCCATCGATGGTGGAAGTAAATTTGGATACAAATATACATATTTATTTAACTCTAAACATACTAAACATTTACATATGTACTAAGTAAAATACATACACTCACGTACGGGTGGATCTTATAAGGTACTATTTAAAAATTACGATGCGCCAACCTCAGGAAAAATCAGCTCTGCGAAATTAAGGCTTAATGAAATGAGGATAAGATATCGCCTTCGGACCTGAAAGTAAAACAAGTTCCATAAAAGCATTTAAAAAATTAAATTTTTGGCGAAAATATAAATAGGGGCGCCACCTTTTAGCAATTTTTGGGCTAATTTTCTTTTGTTTGCTTACTGTTTACAATTTTTTAATGCAAGTATAGCTTGTTATCCAACCAAAACCATTTAAGTTCAAATCAAACTTTTCATAAAAGTTTCATCAAGGTTTCGAGCTTTTTAAATAGATTTCTTAGAAACATTTTAAGCATGCAGTTTTGTAGTCCTTTCAATTTTAGTATAATAAAGTTTAAGTTTGAGGTAGCTAGAAATATCCGTTGATTTTTGGCAATATTTTTTTTTTTGTTGTTGCAGGTGTTGCTCATTTTCTCCATATATAATAATTTTTCGAACAATCTGGAAAAATTCATAACACCGCCACAAAAATAAAATTAACCAAAAATCAACTATATTTTGTAGTCACTTTATTTTTTATAATCCTTGCAGGCAGTTCAAGATTTAGCTTACATCGTTTTCGCTCTACATTTATACAAAATAATAAGCATTAAATAACATCCAAACTTCTAATTTCGTTGGCTACTTCTTTTGCTTTCTAAAATATTGACAAGAAAATCTCGAAAGCACAATTTTGCACATGACAAAAAAAAAAAACATTGAATTTAGTCAAAACTTATATTACGGTGTGATAATCCACAATTTAAAATGATAATGACAATGTAATCGCAAACACAAATTATTCTTGAATATTCTTTCATTTGATAGCCATACGTCTTCACAATCAGTGTTTAGCACTAATCGATTGATTTTTTTAATCAATTTGTTAATTCAATTTAATCCAATCTGATAACAGTTAATTACGATCAATTGTAATATGATGGAACAGTATATCGTAACCGCGATTAAAAAATTAATTTTTAATCATTAACCCTTAATTTGATTAAGTAGGTTTGGTGATTAATTAGTTAATGCTGGAATTTTCTTTTGCACACAAGGCCAGTTAATTGGGCATGGCTAGATCCTTTTTCCTCATCAATCTAAGCGATTTAGTGTGCATTTTCATTAAGATCTATTCTAACAGACGGTATGCGAACCAGGTACTAAAATCCCTTTGACATGTGCGATAGATTGTAAAAAATTCCCAGTTTATGGCTACATCGAACATTAATACATTTTTCTTAAACCTTGACTGGTTCTTATAATGAGCTGATGTTTTCGATTAAAAAAAGCAAAAAAGACAAAATTGTAGAATTTTTAATTGGTAACACTTCGAGTGCCTACCTTTGTGATTTTTGAAATACTCGAGTCCTTGAGGGGCCTGAGGACACTCCTTATCCTTAACCGATTGATCTACAATTTTCTTCACCAACATTTTTCTTTATGTAATGAAACTAAACTGAGGGGTAGCAGATAAAAAATGTAGACGCATCACGTGTTCAAATATTATGGCTTGAGTCCCAATAGCTACCCCAAAAATTGACTGTAAATTTTATCGTATGTGTCAATGATTTTTTTCTTGTGGGCGAAATTATCATATGGGCTAAGAAATTAGAATTAGAGACCTTTTTACAAAAAAATTCTTGCGTTTAGTTATATTTCTCAATTATCTCAGCAAATCTAAACTTTGGTATTGATGGTGCTAGTCAAAGCAGAGATAAATACAAAAAACACTTTCCTGTAAAATTTGGTTTTTGTAACACACGATAATTTTGCGCCAAGGGGTCGATATGTATAGTATATATGTATGTACGTAATGACAAACTTGTCTACCTTTGGCTGTGGAAGTTGAATATTATTACTATTTTTTAAGAACCAGAGACAATAATTTAGAGCATGTTTTGCAAAACCGCCCATTGACAAGTTGCAAAACCACCTAAATCGCCGTTGTGCCAAAAATGAGATTTGGTAACCCTGAACACCAGGCATTGAGATTTATGCATAAAAATCATAAAATCGTTATTAAAACAACAGATTTGTAAAATAATAGCTAGAGAAAATACCGCCTATCAAGGCGCAATGCCTTCGAAGAAAACCCGTTTTTTTTTTGCTCTCCTGTAAAATTTGAGTGTCGTAAGATAGGCGGTTTTGCAATTTGTCGATGAGCGGTTTGGCAAAAACATCGACGATATGTACCTCCATGTTTAATTATATTTAAGTACTATGTATGTATGTATGTATATACTTAGTCATGAAATGGCGGATGATAGAGGTTTCGAATATTTACTAACCACACATAAAAAGTAATTTATGTATATACGAGCTTATATGTATCTACCATATCTGTACATACATACATACATTACATTAGGGTGGTCATTAAATATAGCAAGCTAATTTTTACATCAGATTTCCTAAACCTCAACACCTACGTCGATGCTACTATAGTCGAAGATATAAATAATATGTATATATATAAATTTAGGGCCCGATTGCAGTCGGTTAACGCGTGTTGCACAGGGGTCAAATTTCAGATTGCCGCTATGAAATCGTCTTAACCGACTGCAATTTTTAATTTTTTGAGTCTCATAGAGGCCTCCATCTGGTCTTTGACCTCTTTGCGACACCGCTTACCCAACTTCAATCGGGGCCAAAATGTATATGTGATATCTTCGACTATGATAGTATCGATTTTGAGTATTAGATAAAAAAATGAATTTTAACTTTTTGAGTCTATGTATAGCGGAATCTGAGCTTTAGCCCCCTGTGCGACACGCCTTAACTGTCTCTAATCGCGACCAAAATTTATTTATCCTATCTCTGACCGTAGTATTGCCGATTAAGGAGGTGAGACAAAAAAAAATCGTTTTTTTGATTTTTGAGGGCCACCCCAATGTACATAATCATGCTACAAATATTATGACAACAAATTTTATTCCAAATTTTTAACTAACTCTTTAGCATTGTGTTTATACATAGCATCCATGTGAATTAAATACAGTTCAAAGGGCACACATTTGTGAGAGAATATTAAACATTAACAAAAGAGTTAAAAGTGCAAATGCAATAAATAATGAATATTAATTAACAATTTGCTTTACATTTTTTTGTTTATTTAACTCGCTTTCATTTTGTGATTCATATGTAACTTTGTGAAAACTTTTTTTGTGTGTTAACTTGTGGACATAATTACACGTATACATACTCATGCATCCATCTTGAATAAACGAAAATCAAAACTAACTAAAATCTAATTAAAATTTCTGACTCATCTGCAACAAATATTGACAACTGCAAAAAAAAAAACGCGTACATAAACGACACTGAAAATATTTGAACTTGCACCACTGAATTCGATTTCGAAAAACCGGCTGCACCGCCATTATTTGCTGGATACTCGCCCGTCTCACTCGTGGACCGCACCGTATGGTAAGTGCATTTACTTTGTATTACACATTTACATACCTATGTAAGTTTATATTAACATTATTGAAGCTCATAAGACACGCATTTCTCAGTAATAATTGATAGCAAGGGATCAATTTTTTTTAAAGCTATTTATAAACGCTCAGAAAACTCAGCATACCTACATATACATTTGTATATTTATGGATGATTTCTGATTTTGTCCCGGACTCTCTTTTCTCGCAAGCACAAATGCGACTTTATATGGAAAAATATAATATAAATGCAGGCTTACCTATCGAGTATCGTTAACACCCTCGGGAAAAAGTTCTCAAAAATCAACGGCAATTTTTAGCGACTAGAAACTTTCACTTTATTGTACTAAAATTTTATGGACTACAAAACTGCATAGACAAAATTGTTCTAAGAAATCGTATTGAAAAAATTTAAAATTTCGATGAAAGTTTCTTGCATTTTCACGAGTTCTGCATGCAATTAAAAAAAGTTGATTCATGTGGTTTTTGCTGTTTAATGAACTACACTGCCCCGGAACAAAGTATTGGCACAGCAAATTTTTCACAATATATGGAACAATTTTTATTCTAAAATTTTTCGCCAATTTTGTATAAAACAACAGAAAACATTAAAATACAATTCCTAACCTTTGTGCAAAACTCGCGAAAATTCAGCAAATTTTCAGCAAAATTTTCAACTTTTTAATCAGATTTTTTAGAATTTATTTGAGTATGCAGTTTTGCAGCACCCATTAAATTCTAGTAAAAAATGCAAGTTCCGAGTTAGTCAAAAATTTCGTTGATTTTTGATTTTTTTTTTTTTGTTGAATGTGTTTTGCATTTTTTCCATATTAAGTATTTTCGAAAAAATGTTTGTAATTTTTTGCCAAAAATCAACGGTAATTCCTAGCTACTTAAAACTTGCACTTTGGTACGGAAAATATTTTTGACGCTTACTGTATGTATGTAACAAATAATTCTCCATCATTTGCTGAAAAATTTTGTTGGTTGAGTTATGACAGTTGTAAGTATTCGAAGAAATTTGGACGAAGGATATTCAATATACTCTACTCATTTGCATAAAACTCACACGTGCTTGGTTGATTGTTTGCATATTATGTGACCGCTTTTTTCGCTGCGTCATTGCTCGAGCCTAAAGTTTTTCTGCTAAACAAAAGTTTCGAACCTTTTAAAATACCATTTGTTTTGGCATTTGAAATGAGAGGAACAAGTTAGCTGGATTTTCATAAGTTTTGGATAAATGTATTTCTTTCATAAAATTTTACTCTTCGATTTGTTACGCATTTGCATTTAATCGTTTTGTTTCGCATTCACCCTTCATAGAAATCTGCGGTAGGATGAATGTACATGTATGTATATGTATGTGTGTATGTAATTTCACCACTAATGTTATCAAGTGTTTGTTGGAGGTATGCGTTGTGTGTGCCACTTGGCATGCTACGCTCCACTGTTCTACGCCATTAACCTAGTTCTATCAGCTGACATACATACATACGAGCAAGACAGCTACGCAAAAAGTTATATATGTATATGGTTATAAAATTGTGATTCTACGAACAATTTTAAAAACAATTTTTTAGTAAAACTTTGTTAGGCATTTAAAAAAAAATTATTTCTGCTCAAAACAATTTCCCACTGCCTTTCCGTTTCTTTCCTAGCATATAACAGTCTCTCTGCTTTTCTTAACATTTGATGAGCGAATTCTTTATTCTCTCCACCACATGGCATATCTATATACATACATATACATATATGTAGGTCCTGTTTACAAAACATTCTCCACTTTCGTATTTTGGCCCACATTCCTTAGCCGAGCTATACCCATTGAGACATATCTACAACCCCACTAACTACATAAATACATATGTATGTATGTATGTATGTAAGTGAAGTTTAGTAGAAAGTAATTTATTTTGTTTTCTCATAACTGCCTGATTTTTGTTGCGATTACGTTTCACTTTCATTCTCGCTCCTCCTTTTAACCTTATATCGCTCCACTACTACAGTTCGGTCATAGTTCTTTCTATTCGATTGTCTCAGACGAATGTTATGTAATGTACTAAATACATAAGTACTCGAAATCACGAAGCCGTTCTTAATGATGTCATTCAATTTGGGGCAAATGAGTTTTACGAAAATCCAATAAAATGTATCAGCTGCAGGTCTGTTCAGTCATTTAACCTGTAGAAGTGAGTTTAATTTTCTATTATTCTATTTCTATTATTCTATTAAACTACGTGCCAGTCAGTGGCGGACCCCCGGGGGGTGTTTTAATACATAGACGCCATATTATACATACATATTCACCATATGCAAGCCAATTTATCAATTTAACTGGTAAACTTCGAGTTAAATAGATATTCTGCTGTTCTGCCTAACTATACAAAACTAATTACCTGACATTACCACTCACTTTCCGTTTGAAGACTGTCCAAACCAATTGCCATTTACAAATTCTAGTCTTATTCGAGACTCGTAGTCCGCGATCTTAAAAGCCCCAAAATACCCTGTTTTAATAATTTGAATTTTCGAAATATGACTTCAGATTCGTAATAAGCGGCCCCGAAAGCTTTCGCATGCCATGCTTTATTAAAAGGCCTAGATTTCTAAACTTTTGTGTTCGCCATATTGGATCTGCCATTTTGAATTTTTAAAATCTGACTTAAGATTCGTAATCAGCGACCTCAAAAACATAGTATAAAACATATAAAGAGTGTTGTCAAACTGTGTCAAAGCGTCTTTGAGCAAATAGTTTTGTCAACCTACGAGTATATTTGGATTTCAGACCACTGTGCGTCTTACGAATCGAAAATCACGAAATTTTTCTATCATCGAGTATCACACGAGTTGGTTCTGCACTATCGAACAGCATTTATGCACAAACTAAATAAATTTTGCAACTCCAAAAATGTCCACGTAAAATTAATTTACCTCACATTAGTATTCCTTACTTGTGCATTGCATTGCTTTACTCACACCGTTGGAATGTCCGTATGAATGTGGTCTCGCTGGAATCACTCATCACCTCAGTGATCTCACTTTGCACGCTTTATTGACGGACAGCGCAGCACATGATCACTTTATTTCTTAATTATTATTTATTTTACATATTTTTATTTTTCTTCAAAATAAAAAAGTATTCATT